TCAAACTTGCAATTACAAATCGCACTCCCGCTACGTGGTCGTGCGATTTTGTAATCGCGCGTTTGATTTCAGACCAAATTGCACTCCACTCAGTTCAATTACCATTATAAAACATATAGAATATCAAGCAAAGACAAGAGTACAAGAGGTATTGATTTCTTTTTAACCTTTTTTATTACTCTAAATGCTCAATACTATAGACATCTATTGACATGTCTTATCTCTTCTCACAACCTTCACATTACAGTACAAAACCAATCTATCGAACAATACATTTGAAATCATTCCCAAAGTCGCTGTTAATGATAAGTTTAGAGCCTGCCTAAAGTATCATAACAGACCTACTACATTAGAATGAATGTTTTAGGATTTGTTGGGTTTTGTTGATGCTGTATTAGTTATATCTACAAGGAAACAAAAATAACTTACACAAAAGAAAAAATAAAGATGAACAGCACCCTTTTCCCGTTTTATACACGAAAGAAATGGTTTACCCGAAACAACTAAAAGTTAAAAAAAATCAACAGACTTTTCTCAGCTTGGGTAATGTTTTCATCCCCATTTCAGATTACGTGCCAATCCAAAGAGTACATCACGTTTTGGTTTTTATTTAACAGTTGCACATGAAAAATAAACACGAAATATGGATACAACCCAAACAAAGAATTGTAGTTTTACAACATGGAACTTCAGAACTGAGCCTGAATTTTATTAATAAAGAAAATTATTTTAGAGATGAAATATTTCAAATTTTTCAGACATTCAGAATGCAGTGCAAAACTTACTCTGACACAAAAGGCACAATGGTCGTTTTGGAAACAAAAAAAAACAAAAAAAAAAAAAAAAACAGCCGCTGGCACAGGTTTCAATAGCAACAAGCGAATAATTTAATAACTAAGAATCAAGCGATTAACCGTTGATTATAATTCTATACCTTATCAATATATACATAAAAATTCTGTTTTTATATTATTTTGGAATAAAATGGATAGACCGTAAAAACACGTGACTGTGGAATATTCTATAATTACATACCATTACGACATGAAATGATTATAAAAACAAAAACTAGACCACGTGATATGATTGGTCGCGTGACATATTTCCGACAGGAAACCCGATCAATGGCAAAATCACCAGAAATCGAAATTTTTACTAAAATCGGTATTAACCATATAAGACAAGTTTGAGAGTTACGAATATAAAAGGCACAATAAATCTAAGACGTAAAAACGTTGACTAATTCTTTTGAATATGAAACAATACTTGTTGGAATAGTCACGCGACCAACAGCTGGGCTATTTTTTTGGCTGGCACAATTACATCAATTTTGCCACTTTTAGGCGCCTTAATATGATCCGAAACAGAGAGAGCATTAAAAAGATTTACAATTGAAAAAGAAAGAAAAGTAATTTCTAAAACAATTTACATAAAAAAGGAGAAGCGCACCTCGAATGTCCCTGTTTCCTTCCTTCTCTCCCCTCCCCCCATGGGGAAACAAAAACGTACGTGGAGAGGAGTGGGTGGGTAGGCATTTTAAGTGAATGTTCTGCACTGATATAATATCTTTCCAAATGGCATAATTATAGAAGACGAAATGTTCATTTTCATTTCATCTTCAATTCAATTCAACAAATTGCTTTACAATTTTTTTTTACAACTACCACAAACTACGACATATTCTGTGATAAAAGGGATGCGGCGACTGCGAGCACAGGCACGCTCGTCCTTTAACGAGAGGAAAATTTTAAAAATGTAGTAAAATTCCGAGACTACGAAAATCTACATCAATGTTAAAAGCCTTGAAGCTATCTAAATCAAAAGCTGAAAACCAAACTATGTATAAACCACAGTTACTAAAAATAGTCATTAAATCTAAAACAATTATCTATGGTTGAACCAATGTTATTTGCTTTCGAAGTTTTTGACCTGCTTTGATAGTTTTTCTAAATCCTCTGCGCTTATTCCACCCTTGAGCGTTCGGCGAGCTGGAGAAAAAAAGAAAGAGACATGAATAATAAGGCTAGGAATGTGGTACATGACCAGTGTCATCAAACGGAAGTGACGACAGAGACTGAACTTGAACAAACCCTTTCTTTATATAAAAGTTTATTTTTACAATGTACTACAGATTTCGTGTAAGCGGGAAAGTACGATGATGAACTGAGTCTCTGAAATAGCTTTCGGGTTCATTGTGATTGGATGATTGGTGCCCTCTCGCTTTGTGATTGGTTTAGACCGAAAGCCATTCGAGTTTTAGGCTTCTGTTCCATCTATTTTTAAGTGGGTGTGAGTAGAGGATCTATGACAACGCATAATTTAGATTGCTATAATCTAATCACACATTTTCTGTTCTAGAATTCTGAATTCTTCCAATATTAAAACTATTTTTGCTCTAAAAATAACAACGCGCAACGCACTCGAAAATATAAATTCTTTTCAGAAAAATCCACATTTGGTCAAAAGTTTTTTCTTTTAACAAAATATATCCCAGCCCTTGCGTTTTGGGCTTTGGTACAATAGTTATTAGTTTTTCAATTTGATGTTTTTGGATTCAATGACATGGATTGGGATACCTGTGGTTGATTGTTGGAGTTAATACCTGCCCAAGAACCGATCAAACCAGTTTAACGTGGCGAATCCGAAACATAAACGAGAAGTACACAAGTACGCTTGTATGATGGCATGCAACCTGAACTCACCTAAACCAGTCCTTCACAGGCGTTTATTACCGCAAAATTCTTTGGAAAAGAGCAGATTGTGATTAGTGTGAACGTACGAATGCATGGACTGTGACTGGATGAGATTGGATTACATGCTTTTTGTATACGTACGTTTCCTTTTGTACTTCTCACTGCCTCAAAATCATAAACCTTACCTGACTTCCGGTTGGAGTTTGCTGTTCGATTGCGCGTGCGCACCCTCGTTTTAGTGTTAGGGGCGGTAGCTGATTTTACCAGCATGTCCATCACTTCATCGGTATTATCATCCGGAAACTCATCATGGCTTTGAGAAGAACGATTCGACCTGGTTCGACTACGGTTCGGAAGGGTGGAACTTTTCAGTTTTTCTTTACAGCCGTCTAACTGGTCTTCATTTGAAAACAGAGCCTTCTTGAACGCTTCGTCGACTCGTTCTTCGCTCGGTGACCGTCCAGCGGATCGGAACGACTAATAAAATAATAAATGCATAGAATATGATTTAAGATGAGAAACTGTGGCGTTTGCTCTTTTATGATTTTTTTGATTCAGTGAATTCACCTCTACCGGCCGACCCTTATTTATTTGTTCATTCATTTTGCATTTGTTTAACCATTCATTCATTTGTTTATTTATTCAACCATTTGTTCGATTCGTGTTTTTTATCCGTCCGTCCATCCGTCTACCATCATCCATTCATTCTTTCCTTCGTTTATACCCAGAGCAAGAAGATTGCAACAGAAAAGCCTTCCCACTGCACATACCTCTGCGTAGATGAGTTTTCCCCTCGTTTTATTTCTCTCTCTGATGTTTTCTCTCTTTTTCTTTTGTTCCAGAACTTTTTCTCTCGTTGTTCTATACTCCAACGAAAACTCGCTGATGATTTTACAAAACTCGTGCACCTAATAACATGACAAAAAAGAAAACAACTCATAGTAAATTCTTCATCAATAATCCTTTGGGTTCACTGATTCCAATGGGACTATTATCACAAGACATGGTATCCGTGTTGGTAAACGTCTGCACACCAACGTGGCTGTCCTCACGTCACGTGAAAGAAACTTGTCCTTGCTAATTACCACCGCAAGTACAGAGATGCGCAGCTTAACGCGGTCGAACTGAAAGCACGGCAAAGACCAAACCGATCCATTCAGCTTGGCCGTGAAATTATAACACATATTTGTAATAAATGTCTCTGAAATGTCTGTGGGATTCGCGAGACAGTGGCCTGGATGCAAACACCTAACTGTCATATAAGGGTTTCCGCATTATTGGGTGTGCCATGCAGAGTGAAAATTAGCAGAAAAAAAGAATTTCGCTTGCATAAAATACCTTTGTTTTCTTGGTTACAGTCGGAGAGACTCCCAAATAAAGAAGCATCTTGCGAAACCTTGAATAAAGAAAAACAAGATCAACAGAAATCAAGTACTATTTTTGGAATGCAATCACATGACTCAATGACTTAATGACCTGTCATAGTTCCAGGGGCGGATCCAGGATTTTTTTCAGGGAGGGGTGCTGCGCACAATATTAACCCAGGGAAGGGTGCACCCCTTAGAATCAAAGGCAAAAACTGTATTGGTTATCTTCGAAGTAGGAGCACAAAGTGTAACCAGGGAGGGGTGCGCACCCCCTGCACCCCTCCCCTGGATCCGCAACTGCAGTTCGGTGAGATCCGTAGTACTAATTTTGCAGAGTGTATTATAATACAGTACTTGAAATAGGACTACATGGGACTACATGTTTCCATAGTTACCTGTTAATGACGCGTCTGTGTACTACTTTGAGGATGGTTATTCTTTCTTGAGCGTCAGTCAGTAATTCAGTCATTCTATAACAATATTTGCCACGATTATTAACCAGTCAAAGTCAAGTCGACTAAGTACTTCATGAATTTAAAATGACCTCATTCGCCTTGGTGAAATGTTTTTTACCCTCATCACAGACCACGTGTCATTCTTAAGAGTATTATTTCTTTGTCGGTTGTGCATGAGAAGGCACATGAATATGGATAAAACTCAAACAAAGAATCTATGCTGAATGACACGTGGTGTGAAATGGGAAAACATTATGCTCAATGTAAAGGTTTATTACAGTACAACGCACTCTCCACTCGCACGAGAAGACACATTAATATGGATAAACCTCAAACAAAGGACCTTTCTCTCAAGAGAATGACATGTGGTGTGAAATGGGCAAACGCCAAGGTAAAGTGGTCTATGTATTATATCTTACTTGCTCTTGAGCTGTTTCGTGCTGTCGTGTTTGGCCACGACACTCAGGTGTTCCCAGGATTTTTTACAGTTTTCTTTTAGTTTCTTCAGATTTTCGGCAACTATATCAAAATCCACCTGGAAATTAAAAAATGGATCATCGTTATGCCTCTTTTCTTGTCAGCCACTGGCTTTTAACTAAGTGCTAAGAAGGTGAGCAGGACAAACAACCGTGCATAATGTCATCTTGCGATTGTATGAACGATTATATGTTGATGTTGATTATATTAAATACCGCCCTCAAGCCCCTCCCCTTCCTATACGGGCCTGCTGTTACAACAAGTACGAGATATTTCGTATTCATACATACCCGCGAAGATCGATGACAAGCTCCTAGTTCACTGTAGAGATCAGTAGTGTTTGGAAACTTGTCCATCACCATACAACACAAGTGATACAACAGAGAATGTTTGTGGACCGTGTCTTTGACCTCGGGGACTTTAGATAAATAGTCCAACTGGAATCCCTTCACCTGTTTATGATATTCAGAGAAGGTTTTCAGTGTGTGATTACCGTTGACAAGGCAACAGTAAATATACTGAATTACATTCTCGTACCCCGACTCTTCCCACCAAAAAAAATCGGTTTCTGGTTAAAAAGCTGAGAAGGGTTTGCGTGCGAGAATGCTGAGAAGGTTTGGGTTCACAACTTTAGCTCGTAATCCTTGGAAAACTGCTGCAACGGTGAATGGACCGCTAATAGAGACCGTTTAGCATCAGGTTTACCGCTAACCGCTAGGGATCAGGCCCTGAAACACGCACGCAAACACGGAGAAACACTCAGCATCAATGAAATTCAATATGGCAGCTCTTCCATCACCACAACTTCGTTATGATGCCTTGCTAAATGTCGAAAGTTTGAAGGAAAACACGCCTGACGTCGAACTGCAGTTTGAGGTTTGCGGTACCAAGCAAGAACGTGGTGCTAAAGGTCTCTAATGTCTGAGTTGGCTATTAGCGCAGCACAAAATCTATGTATATATAGTTGAATGACAGGGGCGTCTAACTCCAGCCACGTACCTGTTTGCCGTTAAGAAAGTTTCCAATGGCCAGCAGCGTTGCCAGAATATGTTTGAATGTTTTGTTCTTATTGATTTCTTCGAGGGCTTCCTTGAGATCCATCAGTGGTTCAGCTACTTCCTGGAATAAGTACGAGGTGGGAGGTGAGAAACACAAGGGAAATGGGAATTAGTGGGAAATGGGAAAAGTGGGAAATAGGAAAAGCGGGAAATGGGAAAAGTGGGTACCGAAAAGGTCGGAGAAGAAGAGAGAAGGAAGACAAGGAGTGCAGCTAACCAACCCTACTCCCCCCATGGGGAAAATACACCTACCCCGAAAACTATCCAAATAAATATTAGACTAAAGCGCAAAAAAACGATGTTTCTACCCTAGCTATACCACAATGCACCACGGTCGCCATCTCAGCGAAGAATCCTTCATTACCTTTTCGAGTGAATCATAATCGAGTTTAAATAACCATAATTGTAGTCTGGGTGCGAGTTCGTTAAGAGAGGCCATGGTAAGTAGGAACTGTTCAGCAGTCCCCAAAGGAATGTCGGGATTTGCCAACTGTGCTTCTTGTATCTTGGTCTTTTCTTCAGGCGTCGGCTGCAGCTGAAGAATTTTCTATGAAAAAACAGAACATTCAAATTTTTCTTCGACACGAATATGGAAATGTTCTCTTCTATTAGGGAATCGAGGGTGTTTTAGTGGCGTTGTGCCCCCTTATCTCACCCACGGGGTCTATGGTTTGATTCCTGGACTCGATATCACGTGAGTAGTTTGTTAGGTCTCTCCCTTGACTTGAGGGTTTTTCCTTCCTTTTCCTTCCTTCACAAAACCTGACGAGAACTCGTTGCCTCGATTTTTTTTCTCGTTTCCATTTTACAAACAGAAGAGAAAAGAAACACCTCCCCGGCCCTCCCCCCTCCCCTCCCCTCCCCTCTCACTAGTACTCACCTCCACTCCCTCCCTGTCAATCACAGTGCTATCCATGTTAATGATAGCTTGTTTCAGTGTTCTAACGGGCGGTAGTTTGGTCAATCCGATGTTGATTGTCTGTGATCTCTTCAAGTCAAGAACAACAATCTCTTTTCTTTTGTCTTTTTCGTCACCCTCGGATCTTTGCTGTGAAGTAAGTTAATGATTGGTAAAAAATATATACTGGGCTTTCTGTGGCGAGATAATTCTGGAAAATCACAGGAAACCCGTACCAATAAAATCCTTGAAAGGATTCGCCATTTTCCATACATTGGTTCACTGGTCAAAGAATTATTCAAATTTGAACCTTGCAACCTTGACTGAATGCTTTGTGTTTGACCAGTGAACCGATGTATGGAAAATGGTGAATTCAGTCATTTTTACGAAGGTGTCATTTACTACAAATACCAGAAGGCTTTGCGAATTTCTTTCCTTTACTCTGTGTCCACCAATAATAAGACAGTTGGCGGTAATTAACTGAAGATAGGAAACTACCCAAGGAATTCTGGGAGTAGACGTCAATAACCCTAGACCTTATACGTTTAGGTGTTGAGGTTAAATGTTGGTTGTATCGTCGTGTACGGGAATTGTCAGGGGAATTCTATTCAAATTCAAATTTCAAGTAATCGGCTAGTAATCGTACCCTACGATAGCATAAATTAAACTATAATAAATATTTATGTGCACGCGCTGATGATACATCGTTTAAATATGACTAAAAAATGAGACCACCCAACCGAATTCACTTTGTGGTCTAGGGGTTAGGYTYARSSYTAKKRT